GCATACCATGAAATGTACTTCTACTTACTGTCGAGCCTCTCTTACACAATTGGTAAGCGCTCACTTGGCCACCAGCAAGCACTCTGGACGCAAGCGGAAATTTATTTCTGAACTTCAGGGAGATAATGCTATATATTGTCTGTGAAGAATGACCCAGCTGCTCCAGGAGCCCTTGCCGCTGTGATTGGGATGCCTGGTGGTGTAAGATGAAGACAGGTATTCATGGGGGCACGTTGCATACGATCATTCACACAGTTGCTGTAGGGCGCTCTGTCGGAGGTACGTAAATGCATCCCGACTTATCTGCATGCTGGCTACATAAGAACAAGCGGCCGTTTAAAATCGTTCATCTGTCAAGGCGTGCGTCGATAGAGGGCTAGGCAATGCCTGCATCTGCAGCTGTTTTCGGCAGCAGGTGCATCAGCAACTCCCGCAACCCAGCCCGCCGAAGTTCCAGCATCCTGTTCTGATGCTCAGGAGGCTCGGACAGCAGTGAGCACGATCTGTTCTCGGCAATTGCCCGGAATCCACGGCAGCTCACGACGGTACAAGGCCAAGGCGGAGGTCACGTGGTATTGGCCCAACGTAAATTTCTCGTATTATTCGAGGTTGACCCCAGGACTTAGCCCCCAAAGTCTCACCGATTTTCATATCCTGGCAGCCATGGTCAAAGCCTAGTGCCAGATACCGGGCCAATGAATAGTGAAATATGTTGTACCTCCTGGCCGTGGTTTCGGATATCAGATACGCTTCACACGCTGTGTCAAGTAGCACTACCAACTCCTGAGTACGAGTGCGAACTTGGATAAGCGCAGAATTGACTCGAGGCGGGTCTGCAGGTGCGCTTGTCACCACCTGCTGCCCCAACACCGCCTCAGCCGTTGCGGGACAGCCTGGGCTTTTCCCTGAGTGTGTGTTTCCCTAGCAGTGCTGCTCCAAGTCTCGCTTCACCAGTCACCAGTTCCTTAACTCTTTTCATGCGTGTGAAACCTCGAACTACTTGACGTTGCTCAGTGGACAAGCAGATGCGCCGCTGGTTACGTTTGCTCCGCTTTCTGGGTGCCGAATTTGCCGGCTGTTCTCAGTTACAGCTTCTTACCTTTTCTGGGCGGCACCGGCATTCAGGCCCCAAATATCCATAGGTTCTGCATCTGGGTCGTTACAAAGGCGGGCTTGTTGCATCTATGATAGGACGCTCGAAGTTGCTGCTTTTCTCTCACTGGTGCAGATTTACTCAGCCATCCTTGCGTATATTCGG